ACCTCAGGCCCAAGGTTTAGGGTTCAAGGTTTAGGGTTCAGGCTGTCATTGGTGTGCTGCGCAGGGTTTCCCTTTCCACCAAGCAAGCATTCAATCTAGCGTTAGATCCATAATGGGCTGAATCCTAACTCTAGACTAATATCTAGATCAATTTTAAATAGATTCTAGATCAAAAAGCTGAATCCTGACTTTAGACTAGGATCTAGATAAGTTTCATATAGATTCTACATCAGCAAGCTGAATCCTAAATTTAGACTAGCATTTAGATCAATTTTATATAGATTCTAGATTAACCAGCTAAATCCCACATTTAGACCAGGCTCTATCTTACTTTGATCTAAATCTTAGATAAAATAATTTACATCCTGACGGACAGAATTCAAATCGTTCTGATTTCAACGTAAACATAAACCTCGTAGCTACAGGAGACGTGGGGCTTTAAACAACCTTACCTGGAACAAGCATTCAGGTGCAGCGTGGGTATTGACAATATCTGCATTGTCAAAGATAATTGATTTTGAACTAGGATTTATATTGTTTTGATCTAAAACTTAGATATAATGCGCTAAATCGTGTCTTACACTAGGATCTAGTTCGTTTTAATCTCAAATGTAGACGTAATAACTTCGCACAGTGCTTCAGCCCAGAGGCATCCAGGCACCGCAGCCCAGGCACCGCAGCCCGGGTGCGGTGAAGGGGTCAGGGGCAAGGGTTCGGTGTAGGGTTTAGCTGCCATCGCCATCCGGTTGACAAGGGTTGGAGGTTTTTAGGATTTTGGCTGAGGGTTTAGTAAGGGTTTAGGCACAAGGAGCTCGCCCCCGCGCTGCCGCCTTCTAGGGTTTCGGGTTTAGGTTTAGGAGTTGAAATGTAGGGCTCGGTGTGTGTTTCAGTTAATTGGTCTGGGATCCACCTAGACGCCGGGAGGTGTGGTTTTGGGTTTATAGGGTTTAGGGTGCGTGGTTGCCGATCAGGCAGCTGCCGGGGGGTGTGGTGACCGTTCAGGTCGCTGCCCTCCCTAGGGGTTTAGGTTTTCCAGGGGTTTGACGGGGAGGTCTAATTTAAACCCAAAACCCTGCAGGTTTTAATGTCGGGTTTGAGGTATTGGGTCTAGGGTTTCGGAGCTAGAACCCTAAACTAAAATTCTTGAACCCTGCAGAATTGTGTACTTCAAACCCCCAAGCCCTTTGTAAGGTGCCCTAAACCCTGTCCAGGGAACCCCGCAGAATTATGTACTTTAAACCCCCAAGCCCTTTGTAAGGTGCCCTAAACCCTGTCCAGGGTTTCTGCGGGTGCCAGGGTTGGGGTGGTGGGGGGGGGGGGCCGTTGGAAGGTTTGGGGGTCCTTTTGCAACTTCTTTGAAAAGTCACGCCAGGAACAAACCTAAACCCTAAACCCTCCTAAGCCCTAAACCCTAGACCGTCCGAAACCCAAAGCCCTTCATGAAAGCCCTCCCAACAAACCCCCCCCCCCTACAAAGGAGCGACCTGAATCCTGCGGAGTTGAGAGTCTTAAGGGTTTCGGGCCAGGGCTTAGGGACCCAAACCCCGAAACCCTAAACCCTAACCCGAAACCCTAAACTCCCTCGGCAGATACATCGTGGCGGAGTTCTTCGCAGGTCGTCGGACCCAGCGCAGGATGGCGCACCTCGTCGGGTCATAAGGGTTGAGGTCTGGCGTTGGGGATCTTGGGGCCTTAGGATGTTGGGGTCTCAGGGTCTCAGGATTCGAGGGTCTTAGCCCTAATAGCCCCCAGCCGAATTTAAGCCAAACCCTAACCCCTAAATCCTAAACCCTAAACCCTAAGCCCTAAACCCCCCAAACGACCGGCAGACCCTATAACTGGAACCAGTAGTGTTTTGGTTTAGGGCAGAGGGAACTTTTAAATAGAAAACCCAAACCTTAACTCTAAGGCTATGATTCAGGGTATGTTTCGGGGTATGTTTGGCGGGCGGTCACTCAAGCTTAGAGTTTGGGGTTGAGTTTTTGTTTTAAGGCCAAAGGGTCGATAGCAATTGGTTGTAAGAGGTTTGCGGTGCCTCGGGCTTTCATAATGACATCCTAAAGGTCGCCGCTGCATCAGCGGGCCGTCCGGCAGGTCGCCACTCCATCAGCAGGCCCGCGGGATTGTGGCCCTTGGGTCTTGTCGGGTTTAGGGTTTAGGGTTTAGGGGTTAGGGTGATCGCCAACTAAACTTCCCTCAGCATGACTCTGCTACTCAAGCCGCTGGGGGAATTTCAAAGCCATGTGCAAGGCTTCTCTTGTAACCCTCGACTGCCTAAACTACATGGAAACCTTATCATATAAACCCGGAAACCTAAACCCTAAACCAGAAGCTGCGACAAAACGCTTCTAATGTGGTGCTTATGCAATTAACAGTGGACCTTTCATACAGAGAACTCCTGTCTTGCAATTGTCGTAGAAGAAACATGGTGGCTGCCTAGATCGGCCATCTTCTTCGCTGCCATGCCACCCAAGGGGTCTAAATCTGACCCGGCCTCTCCAAAAAAGCCGGAATCTGCTGCTGCGAAAAAGGCTGCCAAAAAGGCCGCCGACAAGGCTGTCAAACAGTTTCTTCCGAAAAAAAGAACACCTTATGCAATCTTCGTGTCAGAGCAGTACGCACGGATTCAGGACGATGTCAAGCGAGAGCAAGAGGCCTCGGGGTCAGCAGATCAGAAACGTCCACAACGTCTGGCATTCGACCGCATCGGAGACGAGTGGAAGCGCTTGGGCAAAAAGGGCCAAGAGCCATACCAGAAGAGGGCCAAGGAGGAGGAAGCCGCGTTTGCTCGAGCGAAGGAGCAACTCATGTCTGGAGGGGCGAACGGCCAACCTCAGCATGGACCTGGCTCAAGCATAGGCGAGTATGAGCTCCTGGACACGGTCTTGTGGAGAGGAACGTCCGTGGCTGCCTATGCTGCACTGCACAAGGATCTTCGTTTCGAATCTGCTGCAGTGGTTTATGAGTCTCAGGCGGACTTCCGACATGAAGTAGGCATCTTGCAGCAGCTCTGGCGGGCGGAAGAAAACGATGCATGGAATTGTGATGTCTTCTTGCGTGTGCAGCAGGCCATCATTTGCAACGATCCGGTGAAATGCATCGTCTTTGAGAAGTTGCCTCGGCTGAGCGACGTGCTGACAAGATCTGGTCCGCTGAGGGGCCACAAGCTGCAGGCAATGGCTGCGCAGTTGGCGCTCGCGGTGACGCAGCTGCACGGACTGCAACTCTTGCACCTGGACTTGAGGCCGCATGCGGCATTCTGGAACGAGCAGGATTGCACCCTGAAGCTTGGAAGACTGACCTTGTGTCAGGCGGAGGCTGCGCTGGCAGCGCAATCACAGGACACGGCCGCGTACACTGGGCTCTACCGACCACCGGAGGTCTGGCGAGGTGCAACTCCATCCAGACGGTCAGAGAGTTGGGCATACGGGGTCACACTGATGGAATGCTTCGCTGGCACACATCCCTTTACAGACATGGAACAGATTTGGAGTTTTGATGCGACGGTGTCTGATTTCCAGGAGCTTGACAAGCGTGTTCCAGCCATGAGCTCGATGCCCCAGGATACTCGTTATGTGTGTCACTTGTTCATGCGGCATGTGTCTGACAGCAGAATGCTGGTTGAGGAGTTCTTGAAGAATCGCCCGCTGCAGCAGAAGTTGTGCCAGCAGTAACAGTACTAGGGCTGGCCTAGAGGACCTGTCGTTCTTCCTGCCTTGGAAACAGATAAACCCAACATGAATGCCAAGCGCTAACCCCAAGACCCGAGGCGCTCACCCTTGAAACTAAATATAATTGTAATAACCGCACCAATCAGAGGTCTTATAGCCTTCAGGGTTTGGGGTTTAAACTTGAAAGGGTTTAGGGTTTAAAGGGTCTAGGGATTGGGTTTTTGGTTTTAGGGTTAGCCCTGGCTAAATTCGAACCCTTTCGAGTGTAGCTCCTCACGCAACCCTAACAAAAGAACCTCAACCCCAAGCCCGAACTCTTTGGAGCCCTTAACCCTCGAGCCCACAAGAGCTCCCTCCGGCAGGTCGCCGCTGCGTCAGCAGCCGCTCCATCAGCAGGCCCACGGGATTGAGGCCCTTGGGTCTTGTCAGGAGGTTTAGGGGTTTATAGAAATTGTATTTAGTTTGTGTCCGGAGTTTTGTCGGGATTTGCCGGGTTTTGTTTCTTGCTTTTGCTGAAATTTGGGGAGGTTTTGTCGGGTGGGGCTGGGGGGGTGGGGGGGGGTGGGGGGGGGGACTGGGAGGCTGGGGGGGCCTGAAGGATTGGGGCTGGGAGCTGTAGGGGCTTGTCTTTCACCATTCAGGGGCTTGTTTGGTGCCTGAAAGCCATGCTTTTGTCTGATGGGGTCTTACACTGTGAAGGATGAAGGGGTTATTGTGTGAGCTGCTCGTAATGAAACGCATACGATATCTCTTTTTCCTGGCCTTGAAGGTTTAGGGTTTAAAGGGTCTAGGGATTGGGTTCGGTTAGCCCTGGCTAAACTCCAACCCTTTCGAGTGTAGCTCCTCACGCAGCCCTAACAAAAGAACCTCAACCCCAAGCCCGAACTCTTTGGAGCCCTTAACCCTCGTGCCCACAAGAGCTCCCTCCGGCAGGTCGCCGCTGCGTTAGCAGGCCCTCCGGCAGGTCGCCACTCCATCAGCAGGCCCACGGGATTGAGGCCCTTGGGTCTTGTCGGGTTTAGGGTTTAGGGTTTAGGGTTTAGGGTTTAGGGGTTTAGGGTCTAGGGTTTAGGGTTTAGGGTGATCGCCAACTTAGCTTCCCTGAGCGCGAGTCTACTGAAGCCGCTGGGGTCCCAGAATTCCAAAGCCATGTGCAAGGCTTCTCTTGTAACCCTCGAATGCCTGAACTACATGGGAACCTTATCATATAAACCCGGAAACCTAAACCCTAAACCAGAAGCTGCGACAAAACGCTTCTAATGTGGCGCTTATGCAATTAACATTGGACCTTTCATACGTTGAGACACCTGATTCCGTGACCTCAGCGAGATGGCATCTGTGCGAGGTCACAGTCCAGAAGGCGCGGGTAAGGTCAGTAAAGCTCGAGTTGAAGCCTTGCTTTTATTGATACTTGTTTGCACGTCCGGTGCACCTGCAGGTGCACATGCGAAGAGATGTCTGGAGAAGCACGGGAGTGTACTGGTCTCGGGTTCTAAGTTAATGTGGCATTTTCAGTTGTAACGCTACGAAACCTGAGGCAAAGCTGTGCATCAAGCGGTGCAACCGCTGCAAGTACATCAAGCATGCTGCTTCCTGGCAAAAGAAACTTGTTTATTCTACCAGCTCCGGGGGCACCGCCACGTGGCTGGTGGAGAGCGACAGCAACAAGCCATGGGGATTGGGGTGCGCAGTTTGCAGAGATGCTTGTGACAACCCGGCTGCATCTGGATCGGCCTTTGTCCAAATGAAGAAGGGTGCAGCCCAATACGAGGTGTGTGCTGTCTTTCGGAAGGGTGTTTCTGCATCTTTTTGTTCTTTCCACAAAAGCATAGCAAGGGAGACAGACAGACAGAGAGAGAGATTAAACAAAGGTAAATTGTAATACAACACGACTACTAACAACTTTAGGAAATGTGTCGCCCGGCTTTGGTCACTAAAACGACAGAAACAACTTTAGGAAATGTGTCGCCCGGCTTTGGTCACTAAAACGACAGAAACTACTTCAGGAAATGTGTCGCCCGGCTTTGGTCACTAAAACGACACGAACTACTTTAGGAAATGTGTCGCCCGGCTTGGATCACTCAAACGACACAAACTACTTTAGGAAATGTGTCGCCCGGCTTTGGTCACTAAAACGACACAAACAACTTTAGGAAATGTGTCGCCCGGCTTTGCTCACTAAAACGACACAAACTACTTTAGGAAAAGTGGCGCCCGGTTTTGGTCACTCAAACGACACTAACTACTTTAGGAAATGTGTCGCCCGGTTTTGGTCACTCAAAACGACACTAACTACTTTAGGAAATGTGTCGCGCGGTTTTGGTCACTAAAACGACATGCGCTACTTTAGGAAATGTGTCGCACGGCTTTGGACTCGCTCCTCCTTGCTTTATATCTCTGTGCGAGGTGCCTATGACCCGGTTCGGGGGTATGCTGCAGCTGGAGGATCTTCGGCGTCACGGAGAGTCGGATGGGCACATTCGGAGCTTGGAGAAGCTGGGACAGCCAGCTGCATCGCCCGGGGGGAGCGAGGAGGACAAGGCAGTGCCGACACCAGCGCAAGTGCGCCTGGCGCTTGAAGTCCTGCGGATGCCTAGCAGCGCGCAGGGTAGGTCCTACGAAGCTCGGTGCGAACTGGCGGGGCGAGCCGATTGCAGGAACTTTCCTGCGGGTCGCTCCTGCGCGACCGAGCACGCGCGAATCATCAGGACAGTTGCAGAGGTGCTGTGGGACGAGGCCCGGCAGTGGCCCGTTGCGTAGACGTGTGTGTGTGTGTGTGTGGGTGGGTGGGCGGGCGGGCGGGCGGGCGGGCGTGCTTGCGTGCGTGCGTGCGTGCGTGCGTGGGTGGGTGGGTGGGTGGGTGGGTGGGTGTGTGTGTGTGTGTGTGTGTGTGTGTCTCTGTGTGTGTGTGTGTGTGTCTCTGTGTGTGTGTGTGTGTCTCTGTGTGTGTGTGTGTGTGTCTCATTTGGGCTTGCGTGCTGATTCAGGACCGCAGGCTGGCCGCGAAGTGCAAGTCCGCTGGCTGGGCCGAGGCGGTTGAGTCTGAACGCTGTGCTGAGAAACAGTCAGAGGCTGGTCACAGGCTGACGTCCTGTGGGTCAGGACGTCAGCAAAGATTCCTTGTGTGTGAAGATGAGACTTGTGGACCACAAGTACCAGGCGCCGCTGTTCAGTGGCATACTTGTTGCAGTTGTATGTGAATAATTGGTAGGCGTCGAAGCCAGGTTCATCACCGCATGTTGGCGCTCTCAAAGTGCCACGGCGTCAAGGCAGGCATGTCAATAGTAATGTTGCTTGCGCAGAACACGTGCAATACCGTGCCCTCGCTCGGAAAAGTGGAGCACATGGGGAGAGTTTTGCAGAAGTTCAGCCCGGACAACCATGAGTCCTTCGCAAAGCTCTTCCAGGACCGAAGTCCAGGGTCTCCTGCAGTTCTGTGGGCCATGCGCGCACCTTTGCAGGTGTACACTGTGGATGGCGAAAAAGCTGAGGGACTGGCTGGGCGCTTTGCTGCCGCCACAGGCTCAGATGGAAGCGGTTCACCGCCAGCAGCGTGTACCAGCCTCGCAGCCAAGGCCAAGGGTGTGTTGCCTTCCTTGAAGCTGTCCACAAGATGCCGGCTGCACTCGGCGCAGCGAAGCTTGGAAAACTCCCTGAAGAGCGACGGGAACATCAAAATCCTGCTAGATGAGTTCGTTATGCGTTTGTCGTCACAAAACAGCAAGGACCCGGGCGGTTTCTGCAGGGCCATTGGCAACTCTCACAAGTTGTTAGCACAGTTCAGCGAGAAGGTGCAATCCCAGCTTGATTGTGTTCTGGGTCCGCAGATGAGCGCTCATTACGCGGCTCAAAGGTTTGACAGTTGCACGAACTGTCTGCAGAAATTGATATTGTGCATCTCTTCGGTTGTTCGATTTCTCTTGGACCTGGCAGCATTGAAGAACGATAAATCAGCGTGGGCTGTGAAACTTCTAGCTGCAACCTGACAGCGTATGATGTATGCCGGTTGGCTCTTGTTTGTCCGTAGTACTAGGGCTCTGTCCGGGAACATGACTCTGACGGCGAGGTACTGACGCCCAGCAACATTCGGCTGCTTGCACTGACGACGGAGTGGCTCAGCTTGGTGTCTCCATTCGTTCATGAGTACGACAGGGGCGCCGCAAAGTCAGAGTCCGCGCCGACCTCTTCCACAGCTCGCATATCCAACTGCTCCAGGTTGTGCGAGAATCTGAAGCAGGACGCTGTAGACTCACTTGTGCGGATGCTGCGTTCCAATGAATTACTGCTTGGGTTCACACAGGATCTCAATCGCACCTTTGCCTTCAAGTCCTTGGACGGCTCCACCGCCCAACGGCCTCTGGTTCTCAATAGCAATTACACGTCCGGGTACCTTCAGATAGCCGAGCAGCAGATGAAAGCTTTGAGCATCTTAGCCTACAATGATAAGAAAACTTCTTGCTGTGAGAACGCTTGGGCGTCTGCAATTCGCATGATAATAAGCTGCCCAAGGCAGCAGCTCGGACATTGCCGTGTACCAGGATGGTCGCCTATTGTTTCACTCTGAAGGCTCGCGAACCCTAAACCCTAGACCCTAGACCCTAAACCCTAAACTCTTAAACCCTAAACCCCAAACCCTCAACTAAACCGCAGGCGTGCCCGACGAAGAGTATGCTGCTCTGCTGGCGCCCGAATTGGGGTCCATCAAGAACGTGTCGGACTTGTTTCTCGAGTCCGTGGAGACTTGGCATCAAGCTGGTGTTGGGTCTGCTCTGAGCCCCTTCGACGTGGTCTGGTGGACGGCCAACAGATCAGACTCCACCCTGTTCCTCGTCAGTCGGCAATGGCAAACTTGCTCTCATTCCCTGGCCGGTGGCGCCTTGCGCGAGCCTGCACGCACTAAGGCCCGAGGTGTTGGATCCTTTGGCCAAGCTGCTGCAGCTGGACACACACGTGCTGCGCGAAGAGTACCTCGTCGCACGACCCACGGCGGTCTTTCTTGCCAGGCGCTGGCCGAGATATGGTAGTAGAGGTTTAGCGCGTGAGGTGGAGCAGGCGGGTTGGGTGGTGCGCAGGTCTGAGAGAGCCTACTGGCCCACGACTATGCAGCGCTTTGATCGGTTGAAATCACTGAAAGCTGCCGTCCTTCACTGAGACCACAGTCTGTGACATGGCATTTCCTTGGAGCACGGGCGTGTGTTTGTGCGTGTGTGCGCGTGGTATTTTCAGAGTTCTCAGGTTCGCTTCATGCTAGCAATCTTCGATGCCACTTCGGAGATCGAGACCAGCTTTAGCACACTGCGGCTGTTTTCAGGCGCATGTTCATGTTCGATGCTCGTTGAGTTGTGCGCAAGCGATTGTGGCGGTTCTCCGTCTTGCAGGCTCCATCAAGGCCAGTATGTCAGAGGAAAACAGGAATTGCTATCTGAAAGTCTTCTGCGACTGCCCGGACCTGGACAAGGTGGTTTTTTTCTCAAAGGGCAATTACCAGCCATCCAGTCTTGGTTTCAAAATCCTGGACAAGTACCGGAAGCTTTATGGTGGGCAAGGTCGGAACACGAGACGGGACCGACTTCCACGAAAGTCCTTCTGCTCGAGGCTGAAATCCAAGGGCTTGGCGTCTTTCCAGAGACAGCGGGACGCACAGCGGCGTTCGCTGCAGCAGCCAGATGCCGAGGAAGGTCTGGAAGACCTTCAGCAAGTCGTTGACTCCGCAGCAAGACGGCGTGCCTCTCCTAAGCAAGAGAAGCTGCGGGCAATACTTCAGGCAAAAGCTGCGGAGCTCAAACAGGACTTCGTTCATGGTCCCGGTCATGGCATTGCCGCCAAGTTGTCAGAGCATGAAAGGAACGTGCTAAAGGACAAAGAGAAGCTCCAGAGGATAGAGATGAGACAATTGCACGAGCAGTTGGAAGAACTAGCCCCGGGACCCTGCACATTCGTCATCCTCGGTTCCTGTGTCCATTTGAAGACGCGTGCGAAGAAGCAGCTGGCCCGGGTATCTTCGTTTGCAGGTTCTGTGTTCTACAGTGCCTCGGAGTTCTTGAATGGCGTAAGCCAGGAGGTTGCCATGGACTGCAAGCGGCTCGTGTGGGTGTGCGTGGAGCCGGAAACCTTCCAAAAGGTTTTGGGGCCCCAGAATGGCGTCGAGATTCCTGCGGCCGACGCCCAGGGAGAGTGTTGGAAGGAGGTTTCAATCATCCTGGCGACTCGCGTGCTTGGCGGGTATGTCGCCAGTGGGCAATGGCCGAGTCTACTTGCCAACCGACAGGACGCCTCTGTCCCCTCCCCGATCATCAGGCTTGGGGCAGCATACGCCCAGCCGCACAACATTTACATGTCCAAGCTGCCGGAAAAGCTGAAAGGATGTCTGAACCACCTCGATGCCATCCTGCGAGGTGGCCCCGAACAAGGGCATGTGCGCTGGGTTCTGCGAGGCAGCAAGAAAGAGTATCTGCCACTTGGCTGCAGTTTGGTTCGGCCAGGGTTTGTTCTTGCTCATTGTAGATGTGCGGGGTCCCTCCCCCCCCCCCCCACTGCTACAGCGGTGACCGGCACGCCCGTCGCATTGCGGGGGGGGGAACCCCCCCCCCCCACAGCTACACCTGATTTTGGGTGGTTTTTTATGGGCCGTGGTCTTATGTTAGCATATTTTGTTGGGCTTTGGCTTTTTGAGCCTTGCCAACATGGTCAAATGGGACGTAGCAGTGCGGGGGGGGGGAACCCCCCCCCCACTGCTACAGCGGTGACCGGCACGCCCAGCGACAATCTTCCACATGGTGAGGGTTTAGGGTTTAGGGTTTAGGGTTTAGGGTTTAGGGTTTAGGGTTTAGGGTTTAGGGTTTAGGGTTTAGGGTTTAGGTTTTAGGGGTGGGAGCCCAGTGCTGCCAAATGGCTTCGTGAGACAACTCAGGAAGTCCCACCAGGAAACCACCCTGCCCCGCACCTTCTTAAGCCTCTTCTGCTTCGATGCCGCATCCTTCCAAACCGGAATGAGGGCTGTTTTGCGCGGCCTTGGCTGCATTCAAGGGGGACGCTATTATGAAAAGTTTTCCGGCTATTCGGCATCCTATGTTTTGAGGTTCGCTATAATGAAAAGTTTTCGGGGCGGGACTGTTTTTTTTTAATGGTTTTGAGGTCCCAAAATATCTCAAAAGCTGCTGAGAGGTGCACAACTCAATATACTTCCTGACCCCTTCCCTGCCTGACTGTTTGGGGGCTCGTTTCATTCAAGCTCCTTGTCTGTTGCGGGGCGGCGGGGTTACATTCTTCAAGCAGGTCCAACATTAGGAAACAAAACCAAACCAAAAAAAAAAGTCGCCCGAGAGCTGCGAATGTAGATTTGGCGGGGGGGGGGGGGGATCGTTGATGGTTTTGTCATGTTTCGGATCAGATTTTGATTTGTTTTGCTTCGGAGGGATTAAACCCTAAACCCTAAACCCGAAACCCGAAACCCTAAACCCTAGACAGGTGGCTTTGACCCACTTCGATGTGTGCGCGCACTAGTCGTGGGGAATCGACCTGGCGCTCAGGAAGGAAACAAAGGAGAAGCGCAACTTATGACATCCTCTGCTCTAGCAAGCTCTATAGTGCATGTGCTGTTGCAACCACTCTGTGCTTTGCATTTTCTCCGATGCATTCTCAGGTTCACTGTTGGTTTGCTCCTAGAGGTTTGGGTCCTGGCGATGTCAAGGCGCAGGTCCGGCGCCAAGAAGCCCGAGGCCGACGCGGCGGGGGCCATGCCGGCTCCTGCTGAGCCTGATGCTTGGCGGGAGTTGCGGCAGTGCGTGGATCGCTTGAAGCAATCCAAGATGTGGGTCGAGAGCGGCGCCGAGCCACTCCCGGTGAGCGGCGTGACAGCGCTGGCCGCTGACTGGCGTGGCAGTGACATTCCACAGGATGCTTTGTGCCCGGGCTCTGACTTAATACATTTTTTGGCAAAACCTGAAGCCTTTTTTGGCCAAACCCGGAACCACATCCCTGAACTCTTTTGCGCATAGACCAACCAGGAATCCGCAGGGCTGCGGCGTGCTCGGAGATTTGCAGTGGTCGTGCCCCGGTCCAGCCGGCGCCGGGGTGGGCCTGCGTGACATCTCGGCCAGCCGTGAGTTTTGGTACAAGGGCGACAACCCGCCCGAGCTGCCGGAAACGATGGTGCTGTTCACAGATGACAGTGCAAGGCTCGGGTTTAACGTTTCAGGGCTTGAGTTCCAGCCCTGCACACCTAATAACGTTTCAGGGCTTGGGTTCCAGCCCTGCACACCTAACCATTGCAGGGGGGACTTGACACCCGTGTCGCGGGTAGTCCAACTTGCTGCCTTCATCTTTGAGTGGGATGCGGCAGTGGCAGCCGGCGAGGAGCGAGCCAAGCTGTTCGCTGCGCGTGCAGCCGCTGCTGGGAGAAAGGGTTTAGGCCTACTGCACGAGGGTTGTTTTTAATTTCTAATAAGGTTGGAGCAGTCCCGAATTTTGAGGCTCACCGCTTCAGCTTCATTCGGGCCAGCTCAGACTCGGTGGAGTCTTGGTGGCTTGTTCATCGCCGCGGAGAGGAAGTAATACGAACCTCGAGCGAGGCACTGAAAGGGTTTCGGCTTGGAAGTGTCCTAATTTCTCGGGGGGGCAGGGGGGAGCTCCCCTCTCATCTCCTCTCCCCATCCCCTCTTCCCTCTCCCCTGTAACAACTCCAAGACAGACACATATGCAAAACACCGAAAAACACAGATAAATCACAAAGGAATTCAGTCCAGAAATTCAGGTTATCAGTTTAGGGTACAGGCTCGGGTTCCTGCTACCAGCGTTTCCCACCGCCGCGGCCAGGAGGGGAATCATTTCTCCTGCAGGTTGGCAGATCGTCTCTTCATGCCCCTCGTCAGCATGTGGCCTTGCCTTCGCTTGCCATGCACCCGCGGCTTGTGACACAAGCTCAAGCCAAGGCTACAGAAACTTCACGAATCGCTCGGTAAGCCTTCGGGCCCGGGCGACCTCTTCGAGGAGTTCCAGGCAGCAGTGAGCTGAGGATGTCAAATCTGCTGTTGGGTTTACCTGACAGGCCCGGCTCAGGGACAGGAAGCTGAGCTTTGCCCACGTAGACAGCAAGGCTGGGCAGTCAAAGAGTTAAATACCTAAAATTTAAAAACTCCCTAAACCCAGAGCTTCTGTGGCAGGTGAGCAGCAAAGACATGATAGCGAAACTTTTGCGGCTGCGGCAGCGCTGCGTGGAAGCAGAAGTCTGGGATGAGTTCAAAATGCTGCAGCACCACGACGACTTCGGCCCCACTTGGGCAAGCCGTTGGAGCATTGCGTGCCGCGTGCTCGGGCTAGCTTCCAAGCCCGAGGAGTTTGCTTGGATGGTTCGTTCCTTGCTTTACAAGGGACTTGCCCCAAACCCTAAAGGCTTGCCCTGAGGGCCCGAGGGCCCGAAACCCCTAACCCCTAAACCCTGAACCCTAAACCCTAAGCCCTAAATCCAAAACCCGAAGCTCAGGATCCTTCGCTTTGGGCGCAAGAACGCCTGCGAAGTACCCCGGCTTCCGGCGCAAGATCTACGAGCTGCAGAAGGAGGACCTCATTGACAGCGCCAAAGCGGTGATTGCGACGCGTGGCATGATGGTCCGGATCATCAAAGACGTGTCCACAGCAGACAGCTCTTGGTGCGATCTCCTGGCAAAGTTTGTGGATGCGAAGCAGATGTGCTCCATAGACGCGTCGTTTCTGGAGGACATTCACGGCAGGAGCAATGAGCAGGTCGCTGTCCTTGAGTTGCTGAAAGGTATGCAGGAGCATGCGTACCTCCCGGAGTTCTATGGGGTGGCGGCCAGTCATGATTCCGTGCAGTCACAATACAGCGACAGTCGGATCCAGAAGCTTTGCAAAAAAGCCATCGATGAGCCGCTCTGCTGGAAGTTAGAACTGGTAATCGTTTGAACCTCACGTGCTGGCGTTGTGTGCTGACAGGCACCGGGCGACACACATGGCCCCGCTGCAGACGGCGCCCATGGTCATTGAGCCGCCAGATGTGCCGCAGCCTGATGATGCTTGGAAAGATGAGGACGTGGCAGTGCCGCAGGCAGAGACCTCTACCGTGAACGTGGGCCAGGTCCGCGAAGACCCGCGTGTGGTGGCGAAGAAGATGATGTTTAGATACATCAAGTTCGTCGTTGCTGACGTCATGGATTGTGGCAGCATGGAGGCCGCCCTGCAAGGGAACTCGGAATGAAAACATTAATGGAATTAGTAGGGTTTAGGGTTTAGGGTTCAGGTTGCTTAGGGTCTAGGGTTTGGCTTCATAAATTCGGCTTGGGGTTTCGTTTAAGGGTTGTTGAGGAGCCACCGGCCCCTGAGACCCTCTGAGATTTGTTTGTTCGCTGGGGTGTTCCACCTTGCTGAATCATTTCATCTCCTTGCATTCAGTCAGGTGCATCTATGCTCACCTTGACCACCAGCCCCTAAGACCCTCTGAGATTTCTTTGCTCGATGGGGCGTCCCGCCGGCGGGCTGGGTATATGTTGTGACAGGGCTAGGGTTGTAGGGAGTTGTTTCGTCAATCAGGACAGTCGACAAGCTCCTGCCCGCCGGCGACAATGCGGAGCAGATGCTCCGCGGCTGGCTCCTGGACGGTTCCATGCTGACAGAGGTCAGTGAGGCTTATTCGCGCAACCACAACTGCTTCACACGAAGTCCTCCATTTGCAAAGCCGGTTTTGCTGCTCACCCGCAAGATGCTGGTTGGATTTTAAAACGCTTGCGCGCGCCGCCGAGGCCCAGGAAATTCGAAAAACCTTTTCGGGTAGGGGCAGGTCTTGAGGGGGTCCCGTGCTTCGGCGGTGTGGTCTCAGGGGGTCAGGGCGAGGGGGGGGCCAAGGAGGGGGGAAGGGGGCGTACCAGGTCCTGGTCTGCTTCCTATACAGTGCTTTGGCGGTGGTCTCAGAGGGTCAGGGGCGAGGGGGGTCCCAGGAGAAGTGCCAGGCAGGGGTCTCAAGGCGAGGGTTCAAAAGTAGGGTCGGAGGGGGCAGGGTTCGAGGGAGCGTGCCAGGTCCTGGTCTGCTTCCTATACACCATATTCCCTGCGTAGCTCGAGAATCTCTGAGGACGAACTCGTGCAGGATCTTCGAGAAGCTGGCCCAAGCAGACAAGGACAAGAAATGTCAATTCAGGTTGGGTTCTAGGGGTTTACAGTTTCAGTCTTTAGACATACGCAGGACGTATTCATGGTCTTTGACATGGGTTCGGCCAAAGCGCAGGGCGAGATTAGAAAACAGCTCGGGAAAATCGTCAAATCGAAGGCGCAGAGTACTTTGCAGAGCTTTCTTTTCTTGCCGCAGCAACAAGATCTTGAGCGTCGGGCCCGTTACAATGCTGCTTTGGACGATTTGTGCTTCAGTCGCAAAAATGGTGCACATGGCACTGGTTCAGTGTCTCGTGTAGGAACCGCCGACCCCGAGGATCGAGCCGAGGCCTGATGCCAGGCGCAAGCGCAAGGCGGTCTCGCTGGGCGCGTATGTCGGCCGGGAGTCTCTCCACTTTGCTGTTTGCGGCAGCAGTCTGGAAGCGCGCGAACACCGCTGGATAGGGACAGCCTTGCACACATGTCTGGGAGCAATGATTGGGTCCCGGGTTTAGGGCTACACTGTGTGCAGGACTGGCACGGACTCGACGTGTCCATGGCTTCCGGTCCCCCTCCCGAACCCAGTGCTGCTGGAACCGAGAGTGACAAAGAAGATCAAAACCCAGGCGAAGCCAAGAGAGATAGTGTTACATGTCGGTCTGGTTTGCTTCGGGCGCTTGGGAGGTGCTGCTGAAGGTTGAAGGCAAGGGCAAGTTCATCTCGGACACGGCGGCTGAACCAGCCATTCCCGACGACATGGCCGACGAGGAGTGACTGCTGCTTGACACGAAGCCAACTGCTGCTTGACACGAAGCCAAAGCCAGTGACGCTTGTGTCCAGGACATGCTCCCCCTTCACTTCGCGTCCAAACATGTGGTCGTGTATCAGGAGCTATTCCACACATTCCGTCTGTCCAGCCTCATCTTCCTGAGCCCAGACCCCTACGGGCTTCTTGCAGGGTTGCGCAGCAAGGTGACCATGGTGGCTGTTTGCCGAAGCTCACTGCACGCCAAGGCCAGGGGGCAAGGATTCCCAAAACCCTAAACCTTAAACCGACTGGGTTACCCAAAACCGCAGGTCCTCATGGACTTTCTCGTGGAAAAGCTTGTGGTGGATCTGAGCCAGTCTCCGCCCGCGTCCTCGGTGGCCCCTGCTGTCCACGACAGCAATCCAGAGCCACGCAACACAGGTGCCAGCAATGGCCAGAATGCCGTGAAGGACGGCCAGGATGATGCCGCGAAGGACATCGCTCAGGGCGACAAGACCACAAACCAAGAGAAGAAGCAGAAGAAGGATGCTCAGGCCAACAAGACCAACGACGAAGAGAAGAAGGAGGAGAAGGATGCGGAGTATGAACTTTCCGAGGAAGAGAGCGGCTCCAGCAGTGGCAAGGAGGCCGGGTCTGAGTGAAGCAGACAGCCGTCAGGGTGTCGCTGCGGATTCCGTGAGGCTCGGGCTGAGTTGGCAGGGGAGAGCCACCAGGTCTCTTCCGTTTTGGGCCGATTAGCTTTGAGCCCGTAGGGGAAGTCTGCAGGTTTTTAAAAAGAGCGAGCAGTAGCAGGAACTGTGTGCATCATTGTCATTAGTACGCCGTGCCGGCCTTAAAAGCGTTGAAAGGTCAACACTCAGGCAACTGCTTGCGTCAGATGAGGTCGGACGCTGAGGCTAATTTTAATTCCGAGACCAGATCCGCACAGGCCCACAGAGGTCTGGTCACCCAGTGAGTGCAGCTCAGAAGCCGAATCACAAATCCTTCCTAATGTGCGCAGGCTGGAGCTGGTTCAGGCTTCTTGAAGTTACTCTCTCTTTGCGTGTGCCTTCCGATCCTTCTGATTGACAGGGCGCCTCTCGATCCGTCAGTGCGTGCGGGGTTTTCAGTTTAGGGTTAAGGGTCTCCGGTTTGCTCGGTTGGTTCTCGAGAAGTGTCGCGTGTCTCTCTCGATCTGTCTTTGGGTGTAGATTTTTGGTTTAGGGAAAGGGCGGGGTCTTCAAAATGACACTCGATTGTGGTCGGCAAGTGCAGCCGCTTCGACGGTGCAGTTTCGGACAGCCTTCGTCCAGAGTTTGCGGTTCAACGTCAAGTGAACTCCACTTAGCCTAGTGTCACCCAAGTCATGGCAGCTTCACGTGAGCAAGCGGATGCCTTGGCAATGCTGAAGGGTGCTAAGGGATCTTGTTCCTCGGCAGCCTGTTACTGTTGCACACGTGGTGTTTTGCAGAAGGTAGAAGTGAATTCGGAAGACAAGGCAAGAAAATAAAGATGGTCGACATCGCCGCAGCTAAGCTGGATGATATCCTGAAGGAGGCGCCGCGTGGGCAGGCCGGCCCTTTGTTCTCAGAGTAGGAGTATAGTCAGGCCGAGCTGATGCACTTGCCGACTCTGCTGCAGCACTTCCAGCCGCAAGGGCCCTAAGCATCAGTCACGGCATGTGAGAGAATGTTGGGCAGAAGTGCTAAGGAAATCCCTTTCTCACGGCATTTCCATGGTCTTTGGTGTGTGCTCAAAAAAGAAGGCAGCTTCCGGGGCAGAGTCGGCACACACGGCTAAAGCAAAGGCGGTCAAGAAGGATAAGGATGCCAAGACGAAGGGGGTCATCAGCTTTGACTTGACGCAGAACCTCGATGATGCGCCCAGGGCAACCCGAGCCATCACAGCCATCCTGGCGAATGCGGCTCCGAGTACAAACTTCAATCGAGTGAAGTTGGTCTGGCAACCTAAAAGCAAGCAAGGGGGGCTCGCGGCGTCCGTGGGCAAGGTCTGTCACCCAACGATCGTCGTGTCTGGGGCCACTGCCGCTGTACAAGAGCGACGTCCTGCCTGCGGGGTAGTGTGGTCTTACAGCATGCGCGGGCTCGGTTCGGAGGGGCCGGCAACCCAAGACAGCAACATGAAGGCCATCAAAGTAGACGGCCGGCTGCCGTGGACTTTCGAGGACTCACCAAGCTGGGCGATTGTGGCTGAGCTTTGGGGAGGAAAAGATTGGTTGAGTCAGAAAGCGTCCAAGGATCAACGGGACAAGCTGCGCTCAATGGGCTTTGTGTGTGCCAACGGCAATGCTACCCTTGCGCCGTTGCCGGAAGCCTTGGCTAGCAGCACAGTCCTGAAGCAGCTTGCGAGAAAGGCGTACGCAAAGGAACACCCCAAGGAGGAGAAGGCCGGGTCTGCAGCAATGAGGGCGCTTGCAGTGGCAGTGGCAAAGTGCGTATTTTCATTGTTACTTCGGCTTCTTGCGATGGCCAGGCTCCAAAGTCGAAGTTTTGTGTGAACTGCTCATGCGAGTCATGCGCAGATATCCGCAGCAGGTTTAGCTTGTCAGCCGAAAACTGACGAGTGGGCCAGTCGGATTTGTGTTGATTTTGGGAGCAGGTTTAGCTTGTGAGCCGAAAACTGAAGAGGGGGCCAGTCAGCTTTGTGTTGATTTTGGGCAGGTGTCGATATTGGGCAAAATGCCGTGCGATGCTTGCTAAAACGTCTGGAGCAAAAAAAGATCGAGCCTGCGTGCAGCAAGGAGAGTTGGTTGCGTGCGCCTTTGTGTGCACGCATTATACTTGGACGCGCAGTCTGTGCCCCAAGCTAAAAGCCATCCTTGTTGCCTCGCTCGAGACAATATGGGGAAATGGACGTGGACAAAGCTGCAGCAGAAGGCGCTGCGAGCAAACAGTGGTGAATGCCATGGTTCATTTTAGGCGACACAATTTAGGGTCGGTCCCGAAACTGTCAATGTTGCGTGCTTCCGGCGTGAATGGAGGCAGTGGAAGTCCGGACCAGCATCATGAAAAACAAGAAGAAAGGGCCGCCGGCCCCGCCGAAGGAGCTCCGCGTGGCGGCGGATTGCTCTGGATACGGAGCTCACGCAGCTCGGCCTGAAACGCATGTGCAATGTGCTGTTGCATTTCTGTTTGTGCCTGAAGCCAAGATTATTGCTCTCGCCAATATGGACCTGAAGATCCCAGTGAAGAACATGCTCGCTTGCGAGATCGACCCTGCGGTGAGGCGCATGGCGTCTCGTGTGTCTGATGCGGTGGACTTGCCCGCGTACGAGCAGCCGGTGAACATGGTAGAGAGGCACTTAAGCCAGGAGAGTCTTGAGCTCTACATGCTGACGGCACCGTGCCAGTCTTACAGTCTGGCCGGGAAGGGCCTTGGACTTGGGGAAGGGAGAGGGCAGCTCGTGGTAGATGGCTGCGGCAAGATACTGGACGAGAAGCCCAAGGCAGAA